TAGAACATCTACAGAATCAAGAACAAAACTATTATAAAATTATACTTTCAAAAAATCTTTAAAAAGCAGAAACTTCACACTTCTAGAGGAGAGTCAGATTTCTTTAATACATTATTAAGACAAAGGCTTATTTAATGAGCAAAGCACATTAAATCTGTCCTAGCTTAGCTTTTATTTTCATCAGAGGATATTTTCATCTGAATAAAAGCCTGTTTTCATCCAGAAACGGTTGTGCCACACCATGCCACAATGGCATATTAGGGTTAGTAGAAGTTCTTTCAATTTAAACATCTATAACGATTGTTGTATGGGCAGCAAACTTGGTTCATTTGTAACCAAGATGTTGTTGTTGCACTTTATTATGTTTATTCCCTTCATTACAGAAAAAGTAATAAATTGTGAATTGTGCTGAACTTTTTATTTGGTCAGGACAATGTTTCCTTTTTGCCATGTAAATCTAATTTACTCAGCCCCAAAATAATTCAATTTGTTTACATCCACATATTCGTCCAGGACCTGAATATTTACCAGGTTTACAATATAACACCTTATATGTTCTAGTTTCTATGTAAACAAAGTTGTTAATTAATGGATTTCTCCAAAAAGACCATTAACCTGTGAGTGTCTCATGCAATGAGGTGGAGTTTCTAGATGGACATTTTATCACCAGTCAAACATGGAAAACGCCTCTACTGTTCATTCCTGTAGCGTCTAACTGCTGTGACTTATGTGGACCAAAGTTTTTCTTTTTTATATATATATCATTCCACATCATGCATGAAGAAATGTCATCTGAATACTCAAATTACCTTCTCATTTAAAACCGTTCACAAATCATTCAGGAGAACAGCTTCTCACCTTTGTGAATTCTCGTGTGTCTAGTCAAACTGCTTTTTACAGCAAAATTCTTGTTACAAATGGTGCAGGAAAAAGGCTTCTCACCAGAGTGAATTCTCATGTGAGAAGTCAAATCTGTTTTTAAAGTAAAACGTTTGCCACAAATCGTGCAGCAAAAAGGCTTCTCACCTGTATGAATTCTCATGTGAGTAGTCAAACTGCTTTTTACAGTAAAATTCTTGTCACAAATTGTACAGGAAAAAGGCTTCTCACCTGTGTGAATTCTGATGTGTTTAGTCAAATTTCCCTTTTCAGTAAAATTCTTGTTACAAATGGTACAGGAAAAAGGCTTCTCACCTGTATGAATTCGGAAGTGATCATTAAGTTTAGACTTAGAGTTGAAGCTTTTTCCACAGGACAGACATACAAAAGGCTTCTCACCTGTGTGAATTTGGAAGTGATTATTAAGATGAGACTTAGAGTTGAAGCTTTTTCCACAGGACGGACATACAAAAGGCTTCTCACCCATGTGAATTCTCAAGTGAGAAGTCAGATTACCCTTTATAGTAAAATTCTTGTTACAAACGGTACAGGAAAAAGGCTTCTCTCCTGTGTGAATTCTCATGTGAGAAGTCAAATCACATTTTAGAGTGAAACGTTTGCCACAAAATGTGCACGAAAAAGGTTTCTCACCTGTATGAATTCGGAAGTGAATATTAAGATTAGACTTAGAGGTGAAGCTTTTTCCACAGGACAGACATACAAAAGGCTTCTCACCTGTGTGAATTTGGAAGTGATTATTAAGATGAGACTTAGAGTTGAAGCTTTTTCCACAGGACGGACATACAAAAGGCTTCTCACCCATGTGAATTCTCAAGTGAGAAGTCAGATTACCCTTTATAGTAAAATTCTTGTTACAAACGGTACAGGAAAAAGGCTTCTCTCCTGTGTGAATTCTCATGTGAGAAGTCAAATCACATTTTAGAGTGAAACGTTTGCCACAAAATGTGCACGAAAAAGGTTTCTCACCTGTATGAATTCGGAAGTGAATATTAAGATTAGACTTAGAGGTGAAGCTTTTTCCACAGGACAGACATACAAAAGGCTTCTCACCTGTGTGAATTTGGAAGTGATTATTAAGATGAGACTTAAAGTTGAAGCTTTTTCCACAGGACGGACATACAAAAGGATTCTCACCCGTGTGAATTCTCATGTGAGAAGTCAAACTACCCTTTACAGTAAAATTCTTGTTACAAACGGTACAGGAAAAAGGCTTCTCTCCTGTGTGAATTCTCATGTGAGAAATCAAACTACCCTTTTCAGTAAAATTCTTTTTACAAATTCTACAGGAAAAGGGTTTCTCACCTGTATGAATTCTGATGTGTGTATAAAGATTAAATTTCTTTTTGAACATTCTTCCACAGGACAGACATTCAAAAGGCTTCTCACCTGAGTGAATTCTGATGTGATCCATTAAATGTTCATTTTTTATAATTTTTTCTCCATTTGTTAAACTTGGGAAAGGTTTCTCTTCTGTATCTTCAGTCTCCTGCTTCAGAACAAGCTGCTCTTCATGCTCACTAATGGGGAGCTCCATGGTTTCCTCTTTTGTCCAGGGATGTTCTGGTTCTTTCTGCTCTTCTTTTATCTGCAGAGCTTCTGGTTCCTCTTCGTCCAAACTGGAATTCCTCTCCTGTCCACAGAGCTGCTGGTCAGAGAAATCCTCCTCTTTTCCAATATAATCCTGAAGGAGCTCTGGAAAGACAAACACAGCAGAAATACTTTCTATTGGAGTTGTTGTTGTAAAATTTAGATTTCTCTTTCTGTCTTTTTCACCTTGAAGGCCACACCATTCTCTGCGTGAGAATGATTGTAGACCAGACATAGCTTCTTCCCATAACAAACCAGATTCTTTCTCAAGGTTTATTTATAACATGTTACTGTTCACTAAAGTGACTGCAATTTGTTTTGACTCTGACTACTTTCCATTGTTGTAAGAAAGGGGCCAAACACAGCAGAAAGATTTTCTATTGTTGGTTAAAAAAAAGACGCTTCACTTTAATCCTCCTTGCATTGATCCAACTACAAATAAACAGACTGGAACTACATCTCCCAGACTGCACTGCAGCTCTGACACCACAACATAAGGTTATAACACACTGTTTGATTATCCATCATCTGGAGAGGTTTGGACCTCCACTTTTATCATCACGGCTTTAAAATCTGATTACCTGGAGAATTTTCACCATTAAAGAAATGTTTAAACTGTTTTTTAAGTTTTTTTTTTTTGTTTTTTGTTTTTGCTGAACTGTCGAGGATTATTATCTTTTTATTTTATTTTATTGATCTCATACTGGAGAACTCTACCTCTACATTTAACCCATCCCCTTGGGCAGCAGTCGGCTGTGCAATTGGGGGTTAAGGGTCTTGCTCAGAGACCCAGAGTGGAGGCTGTGGGGATGGAACTGAGTATTTGCAACATTCTCAGAGCAGTGGAGTCACCAGCTGCACTGTGACTCTATGGATAAGCCCCTAACGAGGATATGCACACACATTTATCACAGAAGGCCGAAATAAAAGGGAGGAGCATTCCAGAAAGCCAGAGCTCCATTCCATTCTGGTCTGATCCAGCTCTATATCTAGCATTCTGTCTTTGCTGACCTCAGTGCAGAGCTAGACTGCAAACCTTCTCAGAGCTAGATTGTAAACAGACATAATGCACCTCTTCTTAAAGGAATAGTACACCCAAAACATGATTAGCCTTCATTTTCTACTCACCCCCATGCTGAACAACACTCTGGAGTACTTTTTTGATATCTCAAATGCATCTGGAGATCTGGGAGGCTTCTTGCTGTCTGCTGACATTCAAATAATGGAGGTCTATGGCGCCCGAGGCAGAAAGGTCCATAAAAGTCCACAAAAAACGTGTCAATATTCCTCCATACTGCTCGTCCAATGTATTCCAAGTGTCCTGAGTGGGTAGCATCCAGAATTTACTCGAAACGAAGTCATTTAGAACGTTTTAGAGCCTAAACAATAGTGTATAGGATTTCCTAATAGCGCCCCCATGCGCGCTCACGATTCTACGGAAGCCGGCAGACCAAACCAGCGCATTCAGCTCGGCAAAGAACTCATGCTCTTCCTCAACACTGAAGTCCTCAGACATTTTTCTTTCGTTGTTTCTTTCTTTGCACAGGTAAACAGCACATTTCTTCTTCTACGCTTGCATTATTGGCAGAGCAGACGCTGAATGCGCACTTCCTTCCGGTTTGGTCTGCCGGCTTCCGTAGAATCGTGAGCGCGCATGGGGGCGCTATTAGGAAATCCTATACACTACTGTTTAGGCTCTAAAAACATTCTAAATGACTTCGTTTCGAGTAAATTCTGGATGCTACCCACTCAGGACACTTGGATTACATTGGACGAGCAGTATGGAGGAATATTGACACGTTTTTGTGGACTTTTATGGACCTTTCTGTCTCGGGCGCCATAGACCTCCATTATTTGAATGTCAGCAGACAGCAAGAAGCCTCCCAGATCTCCAGATGCATTTGAGATATCAAAAAAGTACTCCAGGGTGTTGTTCAGCATGGGGGTGAGTAGAAAATGAAGGCTAATCATGTTTTGGGTGTACTATTCCTTTAAGACACAATATGGGTAATGCAAAACATCTTCAGAAAAACAGGGTTAAGGTAATGTTAGGTTTATTCAATGATGATTATAAAATTAATGTGTGTTCATATGAAACATTGAAGCAAGGAGATGCTTCACTCTGTCTTATGATTCAGTCAGTAGAGCATCCTGTCTTATGACCTGATCAATTGTACTTTCAGAACAATACTCTGTTTGTAACCATGTGTTATGTTCTGTTAATAAAAGACGGCTGCAGGAGGGGGGTCGTTGAAAGTAGGGCTGTTGTAAACGAATATTTTAGTAATCGAGTAATCTATCGATTATTCTTACGATTAATCGAGTAATCGGATAAAAAAATTTTATAAAATAAACTATTGGCAAATCTGCAATAACACCAGTTAGTCCAGATCAGTCCAATATCTCCTTTTTGAGCATCCCTAACAGTTAAATGTTTGTAGTTTAGAAAGTTTACTTGTAACAGTAGTTTGCTTTAACCTGAAGAAAAGTTATAAGATATTAAATTATATTCAAATAATAAAGTGGCAGGCTCATAAATATGCTTATAAAAATGTCTAAATGTAAAGGTTTGAGTTTGTACAGAGTTCTGCAGCCTTAACTAGTCATGATAAAATGCAAAAATGTTGCTATTTTTATTAAAACGATGCTATTATTTATTCTTGATTGCTTAGGTATAAACAAATATAGAATTACTACAAAAAATATTAATCAAAAATTTCTAATTCATACATAACAGTAGCGAGAAGAAAAGACTGTAACTTTTCAGGATGGAAAGACACCAATAAATAAATGCTTTTCAGCTTATGCCTGTAATCTGTTGCTGCGCATTTTTATTAACAAACTTACATTAAGTCCTGCATAATTTCTCTCAGTTGCACCCTCACATACAATTTACACTACACCCGGTTAAGTAACCGCTATGTTTAGATGTAACGTTAGCAAAATAATGTGCCTCAATTTACATCTATAACATGGCAGATTATAACACAACGTAGTTAGCAAAGAGAACATAAACGTTACCTGTTGGCAACCGTGTACGAGTTGGATGCATGTAGCGGGTGTTTTCTCTTCAGATGCTGCAACATTGATGTCGTGCTGTTGTGGTACGCCAATTCTGCTTTGCAGTGGATGCATTGCGCTGTGTTGTCCTTTCTGTTTAGCCTAAAATGTTCCCAAACTTTGGACATTTTTTGTCGCTTTCGGGGTTCTCCTTCTGAGCATTCTCCGGTTCCCTCCATAGCTACAAACTTAGCACAAGCGCGCCAGGCGCTAACAGAAGTGGTAGCGTTGTGCAACACAGAAACCCTCCGGCTAGACCAGTGTGCTGCGTATTTAACAGCATTGCTTATTACAATACAATAAATTTAGCGAAGCTTCGAGGCAGATAAATTTCCTCGAGGAATTTTTGTAATCGAGTTACTCGATGAATCGTTTCAGCCCTAGTTGAAAGAGTTGGAAGTTAGGTTGGGCTCTTTCCACTCCTGCAGGAGTTGCTTGAATCTCTTTCCTGTGTGGACTCGGTTTCTCTTTTACTAACCAAAATTTTTTGACCTAACAGTTAACACCCCCTTTTACGTTGTAGGAACTGAATTTAACTACACGTATATCTGGCTTATGCCAGGTTACTGTACTTTCACGACTATAGGGCGCAAATAAACGTCTTTTTTTCCCCTCAAAATGTGCGGTGCGCCCTTTGGTGCGGTGCGCCCTATGTGTGTTGCAACTGCGACTTTTGAGACCACCTCATTGAGGAGATGATGAAAGAGTGGCTGAGGGAGGTGAATGTAAGGAGACCGTGTGTTTTTTTTTTCCACTCATCACCACACCATCGCTGTTAATCTGACTCCATGCGTGCCCATCTCACAGCTGATGTGAAAAACATGGTGAAACAAATTAATGCTGTGCTCGCTGTGAACCTGACGCAGCAGGTGCAGCAGAAGCAGCGAGTTTACATGCAAAGTCAACGGTTGACGAGCGTATAGACGCAGCAAAAGGTCCCGCAGCACGTTTTGAGCAGCAGGCGCAGCGCGTCGGGAGCGCGCCGCCAACGCGCTGCTGCTACTCGAGATGGAAAAATTGAAGTTTTGCTGTTGGACGCGCCGCATCAACCAATCAGAGAAGCTGATCTGGGAGCTGACAGCGAGACAGACACAGCGCTCTGATGACATATGATAATAAAAGCAAATGAAAAGGGCTGGATGGATGAGGAGATGATGAAAGCGTGGCTGAGGCAGGTGTATGTGAGGAGACCAGGTGGTTTTTTCCACGCATCACCATCGCTTTTAATATGTGACTCCATGCGTGCCCATCTCACAGCTGATAAGAAAAACATGGTGAAACAAATAAACGCTGTGCTCGCCGTTATCCCAGGGGTCTGACAAAGGAACTTCAACCGCTCGACATCGGTGTGAAGCGGCCGTTCAAAGTAAGGCTGCGAGCGGCGTGGGAGCGATGGATGACCGACGGAGACCACAGTTTCAGTATAAGTGGAAGGCAGCGCCGGGCAAGTTACGCCACCGTTTGCGGATGGATTGTAGATGCTTGGACTAACGTGTCTGCTGGCTCTGTTGTCCAAGCTTTTGCAAAAGCCGGCCTTATTTCTGAGGAGCCGCCCGGCACGGAAAGTGACTCTGACAGTGAAGAAGGGGAAACTGGCATGTCTGATTTAGCGCAGCTGTTTAATTCAGAAACAGAGGATGATGACTTTGATGGGTTTGATTAATACTTTGTAATAAATACATGAATAAAGCACAATCATACTCAGTTTTGCTCCCGCTCTATTTTTCTACCTGAAAACTTAATTCAACAGCAGCCTCTGGGCGCGTCTCCTCCTCTTCACCGCGGTGGCTGGCAGGTGTTTTTTCATCTAAATAATCTAAATCTTGCAGCTATATTTGCTGTGATCAGTGTGAATAAAGTAGTTTTAATATGTTTTTAAGTGAGAAAGTCCACCTGAAAACTTAATAATTGCAGTCAGTTCATCCAGATTATCTATTTCTGTCGGAGGCGCTCAGACCCCCACATACCAGCGGTGCACCGACAGTAGAAATCCCTTCATCAGCAGCCTCTAGGCCGGGCAGCCTCCAGGTTCACCGCGGTGGCTG